TAATTATTTTAGGGAAAGGATTACATGTTGATGATTAATTAATGAATAATTAAAAATCACTTTAAAACAAATGTCTACTTTTGATTGAGACTTTAAGTTTTATTTTGAAATGCTTTAAGAATTCAGTCATCTTTATATAATTCAGAATGCAGCGCTCTTGAGAAAGACTAAAGAATTTTCAGCAGTTTTATTTTTTATATGAATCAAATTTTATTGAACTGTTTTGATATATGTATTTGTTGTTAGAATATTGTTTCTTTCCATGATCTAATTTTGATTTAATTATTATCTCTTGATTATATATACACTGGTCAACAAAATTAAAATGAAACTGATACTTAATAAAAATCTATTATTAATAGATTCGTATAAAAGCAATAATTAACATAAATTACAATGTTTGACAGTTGATTATTTGCAAAATATTGAAATTAGAACCAAATTTATAGAAATTGAAAAATGATGGTAACAATTAAGTCGCCTCTTCTGGAAAACATTTTCCTTTAATATGGTGTATAGTCACCTCAGAAAAGTGCACTTTTCAGTCCTGGAGAAAAATCTGGCATCCCACAGATGCTCAATTGGGCGAGTAAGGTGCATAATCCATTCCAGTAATATCTTCTGTTTGCAAGTATTCTGACACAACATATGCTCAATGAGGTCGAGCACTGTTATCCATTAGCAAAAGCTTTGGGTTAACAGCACCCCTAAACAGTCCGAGTTGAGGCAGCGGTACCTCATTCACATATTTCTGAGCAGTTACACAACCTCCTTGAAAGATATGGAGCTCAATGTGGCCATTTGTCATGATTCCTCCATAAGCCACGGTTGTGGAAATGAGATATTTCATGGACAACAAATGGGAAGTTGCGTGTTCCATCCTCTCTCCAGTTCAAAACACATCTAGCATCACTATTCAGACTATATCTGGACTCGTCAGTAAACAATACTCATGCCCAGTTGTCTTGGCTACACTGAACATGACAATGGCATCAGTTTAAATGGGTCCCTCTGGAAGCTGGAGTGAGTGAGACACAAATCATTGGTTTTCTTGCATACAATCTGACCTTCGTTAAGCCTTCGGGCAGCAGAACAGCTAATTCGAATTCCTGTGGCAAACTTCTGAAACAAAATCTTTCTAGTCACTTTGTGTTTCTTCGAGCCATCAACAACCGAAAATGGTCTTAGGATGCAGTGGTTGCTCTTGTTTGCTCATGAGCAGCCTATTAATCCTTTCGTGGGAAGATTACTTCCCACCTACATGATCCTGGGAAATACACCTGTGGGAAGCGCAAAACCCACTATAATGTATTGGCTTTGGTATTATAACGTTAGGAACTCTAATTCCCACTTCAGTATTGTGCTGCTATCTGTGTTCAATCGATTGAAAACAGAATTGCCACATTTGTTTTTAAAGTTCGAACGTGTTGTGCGAGATCTGTTCCACTGAGACACCTATTTTGATTTGACATTTGCATTGCTATAAATGTAAGTAAAAAAACTGTTTTTATTATAATAACGTTCTCTTATTTTGTATATTTCTGCAGAACTATCTAATATTGAATAATAAATAATGGGTGAAAAGTGAAAATTGCTATTGCATCGTGTATAAAAGCCTACGTGCAATAGGTATGTTGGAAAAATTGGAATATTTTTGAAAATATCATTCAATTCTACTGAGAAAGAAAAGGATTATTTTGGCATGATTTTTACCGAGGAAATTTTACAGAATATTGTTGACGAAACTCATATGCAAAGCAGCCTAAGAAAAGGAAGAGATTGGGTCATACCACAAAAGACATTATCCTGAACTGGAAAGAAATCACATCAGAAGAATTGAAAGCATGGGTAGGTATGCATATACTCATGGGTATACATCAATTTGCCTGAACTGAAAAACTACTGGAGCACAGACCCTATTCTCAATGTTCAATCAGTAGCAAGAATAATAATCGCAAAGAGGTTCAAAAAAATAACTGAGACTTTACATGTAAACGATAACAGCACAAATCCATGTGGGCAATTTGGGCATGATAAACTTCATAAAGTCAGGCCAATCCTCTCACAGCTCAATGATTCCATACCTAAAGTCTACGAACCTTCGTCAACATTATGAATAGATGAATGTATGATAGCTTTCAAAGGGAGAACTTCATTGAAGCAGTATATGCCAATGAAGCCTATAAAAAGAGGTTACAAGGTGTGGTGTTTAGCAGACTCTAAGACTGGATATATTCAAAAATTTGAAATTTATTGTGGAAAAGAAACTTCTGATAATAAGGATAAAATATTGAGCTTAGGGGAAACAAATAACTAAACTAACGGAAGATGTGAAACAGACAGGTCATCTTATAGCCTATGATAATTATTTGACATCTTTTAGGCTTGCAAAGAGTCTACTTATAAGTGGTCTGTTTTCTGTGGGGACTGTGAGGCTGCAAAGGAAGGATCTTCCACTAATGCTGAAGCCTAATAACAAATTACAAAGAGGGGAATCAATGTTCCTAACTAAGGAAGGTGTTGCTGCAATAAAGTGGATGGACAAAAAGGCTGTTACATTGTTGACTACTGCACACAATTCAGTGATTATTACATCTGTAAATCGTACACAAAAGGACGGTACTAAAACAGAAGTACGACGCGAAGTGGTCGCCGCATTACCTAGCATACTTTCGTCAAGATCCCCCGCCTTTAATGTGTTAACTGATCCAGTGCTTAAAAAGCGACACCAAACTATAGACTATTGAACACTAATCATTCTCAGAAACGATATTCACTTTAAACAACATTACAAACCGGAATTCCAACATACCTCCATTGCGCACGACATTGTCAATCACTAAATTAGCATATTTCCAGTGGTAATGTATGCGTGGGAGTGCAACTTTGTGTTCAACTGTATTTAATTCGTACAAATAATTACAACATTGGGCAATGGTTGCAACATTTCTTAGTGAGCATATTTTGTTTCATTACCCTTTAATTTTGATGATCAGTGTAATAATTGAAAAGATAATAATAACACAAATGAAAAATAAATATTGTCTACTAACTATGAGACTGAATTTCAATTCAAACTAATAACGTAAGTTGCAAAATAACAATTATTATCAACAATTATATCAGAACTAATTTTTCTGAAAAATACATTCCATTATACATACTTGCCAACCTATGACACTCAAAAATCAGGAGATTTTTCACAATGTTAAAAAGACTTTTTAAATGATAAAAATATAAGTTTTAATAATGAATTAACTTTAAGTAGTAACTAATTCTTAAATGCAAGCAACACAAAAATACCTTACACATAAAAAAATTTTTATTACACGCATCGTTTAAAAAAAAAAAAAAAAAAAAAAGACACTTTAATCAGTTTTCGTACAAATGTTATAAACAGTGGCAGATTTTGCTTTCTTTAAGAAAGAAACTTCATCATTGTGTTCACAGCAATTGCCACGTAGGCCTGCTTTCGCTAATAAAAGTTTTTCTAATGTGCCATCTCTAATATTAGATCTAAATTTAGTCCTCGTTTTCGCAACAACACTGAGAATACTCTCACACTCTGCATTATAGGGAACTGTCAAGATGGCCAACACAATTCTAGACAGTTTCACTATATTTTAAAATTCCATCAGCAACCTTTCAGTTTTGCAATTAAACTCCACTGGGGTTGTCAATCGTAGCTGATTTTATAACTTCATCCAATTTTTCTAATTGTAAACTGCTGTTATGCAGCTGTTGGAACTGTTCAACTTTTTCCTTCCTTTTTTTAGAACACCTTTCAAGATAATATAAAATATCAACATGTGTTCATCCACATTTATTGGTTAAAGAAGTTGCCCCTTTTTCAGCTGCTAAATTAAGAGGTGACAGGTGCACCTCATAATCTGAAAATCTGAATTTTTCTTTCTTAAGATGCCCTGCAACACCAGCCTTCCAAGCCTATACCAATACTGGTGCATTATCGGCACCAAGTGCTAAGCAATTATCCAAGTGCCTGCAGTTTTCTTTTAAAGTTTTAATAATTAGCTGTGCTATATTAAAGCCTGTCAAATGTCCTTCTAAAGTGGGAACATAAAGTAAACTTCACTCAATTTCTGAAGACTCTGGATCAAAAAAAAAGAAACAACAATTGGATACAGTTTTTAAATCGGTATTATTGCTTCCATCAGTAGAGAGGCAGACCGGAGCTGTTTTAATGCAATCAATAACTGAAGATTATTTTTCAAACCCATTTCTTTAACAATTGCACCTGTTTTGATTCTTGCACCTTGAGTATTTCTTAGCGATTTCATTTACTATCGGAAACATTTTTCTAATAAAGCTGCAGCGTGATCCGATGCTTCAGTGGCAGGTTGTGCTCCAGTAAAAAGGCAAGAGAACAGATATTCTGCATTAATACTTTTTGTCCTTTGTTTCCGTAGAAAAATTTATTTTTCGTTTTTTTTAAAACAACTCATGTTATCCTTGTGTTTTTGTGTACGCACATGTTTGAGAACATCCGCCCCTTCCAACATACGAAATCGAAAAATCGCAACGACAGGCGGTACACATCGCAAATTTATTACATTTCCTTGAGGAAATAATGGAAGGAAAGTCAACTGTGTACGATTTTTGAAACGTACACGAGTATTTCATCTTTCCGCAGACGTAACAAAGATGATAATTTCTAAAACTATATCCCTAAGGCACGTGGTACTCACAAACTCAGGACAAAATGAACGAAATAACTAAAAGAACGACCAAATAACAACTTTGCTTTGTCCTCATTGGCTAATATATGCCAGCTGACACCAGTGGAGCTCGAAGCCCATTGGAGAACTGGAAAACAACGTTTCTGGATACGTATAATGCTCTTACTCACCAAGCAGAAGCTATCTGATTCGCAAGGTTTTGTTTTAGATATAATGTAGAGAAAATTCAATTGCTTTCAGACGTCCAAAAGCACTTTTTTTTATTCATATAACAAAGTATTAAGCCAAGTTCCATAAAAATCGTGAGTAATTTTAAGAATAAGAAAAAGTCGGGAGAAATATATTGTAAATCGGGTTGGCGGGAGAGCGGTCGAAAATCAGGAGTCTCCCGCCTAAATCGGGAGAGTTGGCAACTCTGCATTATATCATACCATATTTCATATACTGCAAATGGCATCTGAGAAAGTAATATTTTGGAAGTAGCACATTTAACAGACCTGGCAAGTTTCTTCTTTATGGAAAAAATAAGCTGGATGCTTTTTACTTATTACATAATATTAATAAATTTTATTCACATACAGGACTACTATATAATAATTTAAATATTTCCATTATACATATGAACAAAGAAAAGTAGTAAAACAAAATATTGTCTACACTGGGACATGTTTGAGCACCAAAATATTAGAAAAATGGGTATTCCTTTTATAACAGTTCCTGCAACCCTGTTTCGCTTTTACATGACAAAAAAAGCTGATGTGCACATCACATGACTTCCTTGTACAGAATATTAAATTATAAAAAAATTGTCCTGCATTTCATTTACACTTATTGAATTGAACACATTTTGCAACAGATAGCAGAAGAATTCAAGAAGACTCCATGTTAGCTGATCATGAACTTGCCAATACATATCCAGCAAAAATTTAAAGGATAACTACAAAGCTAGAATATTCACTACATCAAGTTTTTAATGCTGATGAAACTGGGAATTGGTGGGGAAAAAATCCAAAATACGACCTTTGTATTATAAAATAAGAAGTGAATCCCATTTTAAGGCATTTGAAGATCCCATATCATTACTTTTTTGCAGGAATGTATTGGAAGAATTTACAACAAAGCCCCAGCTAGTTCACAGATCCTTTAAGCCCCATTCATGTGCACTTAAAGGTGCAAATAACTTCTTAGCAGTGCACTGGAGAACAAAAACAAAAGCTTAGTTGATAGGAGATTAAATTAAGTCGTTTTTTCAACTGTTTTGTATCAGTGGTTGAAAATAAGCAAAAGGAAAAAAAAAAAAATTTGAACTTCAAGGTGCTATTACTAATGGATAATGCTCCAGATCACTGACTGAACTTAACACATCTCAATATCATAGTAGAATTTTTACCACCAAAATCTACTTCACGGATCCAACATTTAGATTAATGTACTATTTATACTGTTAAAACAATTTATATAAGATGATCATTTCAATGGATTTTAGATACAACTGATTAAAAATCAAGTAATGAAAGCATGGAAGAAATTTTCGATTAAAACTTCTATCAAAATCATACCACTTTCAATAAAAGAATTTAAAATGAATGTTGGAAGAGGATATGGCTAACAACAGTAAAAAGCTTGTTTGAGTCCCCAGAAAATAAGATTCATGGAGATATTAGAATGTGCTAAATTGATCAGATGATGGATATAGTTGTTGAGGGAATTCAAGAATTATAAGTGGAAGAAGATATCGATGAAACGGTTTTAGTGGGAATGGATTTGAAATTCTTAATCTAACTGATTCTGAAGACAACAGTTCTGATGAAAATTACGAAGTTACTAATTTTACTGTAAAAAAGTTATGGGAAGGACTTACCTTAACAATAAATCTTGAATCAATTTTCTTGAAGGAAGACCCTGAGCCGAAAATTCAAAAGGGATTTGGAAAATTGCCACGTAACTATGAGCTTGAGCTATTTACTATGAGCTTGAAAGGGCCAGCAAGCGGACTAAAACAAAGATTTTTTAAAGAGTGCAGATGATGCAAAATATCCAAATGAAGAAATGGCTTCAGAAAGTGATAACACTGTTTGACCCAAAAAATATCTCCTTAAATTGATTCTTTTCTTTATGCTTTATTTTGTCACGTACTAGAATTTAGGTCTAGAGCATTAAGTAAATTTTAATGCAAGCTGCACAGTCTGAATTGATGAGAAGGAGCATAGGTATGACTTGGTTGCTGCCACTATCTTCTGCTATCAGAGTGGAACTTGCTGGTCAGAATACATGCAAACTCCTGACGATCAGCTTGGTTTTGATAAGTATTAAATATTAGTAGAATTTAGTTTGTCTGACTCAGTTTGTATTACAACTTTGCATACGATAACTAGATGTAAAGTCAGCTAGCATACTGTAATTCTTCTACAAATGATAAGTCAAGAAGATGGATATTACATTTAACTTGTGTGGTGAGGAAATAAATTATTGAGCTTGAAAGGAGCACGAAAAAGACTAAAACAAAGTTTTTTTAAAAAGAGCAGTAAACGTAAAATGTCCTAATGAAGAAATGGATTCAAAAAGTGATGATATTGTTTGACCCAAACAATGTTCTTGTGTCATTGTGCTGAACAGCAGTGAAAAAATTTATTAAAGCTTGAACTAATGAGAACAAAAATTTTTGGTTAAATTATGTCTTTTATAGCAGACATGTTTATATTTTTAATTAAAAAATATTTTGTCTCCAAATGTTTTTGGAATGCATCCCTAAATTTTGTATTGGTTGCTGTTCTCATATAACATAACGTTTTCTAGGAATCTATCTACTTTGTTATAGAAGGGATACCTGTTTTTAAATATATTTATTTGTAAAACATCAATTGCAATATTAGGCTAACATGATTGAGTGGAAGACTTCAGTGAAATGCCACATCAAAAATGATTCAGAACACTACAACACTTTATAACACTAGAGACTTTAAGAAAATTTATTTACTTGGCATTTTATTATGGAAATAATAAAACATTTAGTTTCAAATGAGTTTAGTCTATTATTAAGAAATGCATTCTCTTCAGCGGTTTCATAACAGCATTGCTATTAATTTCTTCCAGTATCCTAGTACTAACCATCATTCATATTATTGTTATTTTTAATATCTATTCATATGTTTCTTTATTTCCTATTTTAGAATTTTCATCTCAGTGGCTCACTTCATTTCACTCAATTTAGAATCTCAATGTGTAATGTAATGGAATATTTTCCAATGAAATAAATTTGCTGTTGCAAGCATGAATACATACAATTATATACTACTTTTCAGTCAGCCTTAATTATGTGTATTTTTTTATTTCTCATAGGTAACAAAATCTTTGTAGTAAAATACTGTATTTTACTAAGTGAATCTATTTCAGTAACTGTTTCAGTGGAATCTGCTTTCATACCAGTCTTTGACAATTCCATGTTATTCAGCAATCCTAATTATCAGACCACTATATAGTCTCAGTTGTGGCATATAACAAGGACATTATTATATTTTATGACATATCCTTTACTTAGTAAAGTCCTCAACGAACACATTCCCCTCCTTCAGCAAATAACCCTCATATACTTTGCCGTAATCAGCTACTCAACTAAACTCATGGTATAGCTTACAGTAGCTTTTGTTTTGAGGAAGTAACTTTCATCATTGCTATCTCTTTGTTGTTTCATCAATAAATAATATGGAAATAGCTATGATATTCTGGCAAAACAGAATAACAAACAGAGGCAATACAAATAGCAAATTTGCATAAAGATGAAAATTCGAAAGGCAAACTTATTTTTTTGCACTTATTTATGGAAAGTATTTGAGTACAAGTTAAACTGATAATGTATACATACATAGCAATGAACATATTAGAATGGAGAACATTAGTTGAATAATTCAAAAATTAGCAAATTATTCTTCATTTTGAATTACTGTGGAATACAGTTTTAAAACACACATGAAAAAAATATAATTTTTCCATGAAAAACAAACTACATCAGGTAGCAAATAAAAAAATATATTATCATAAACATCACAAATAGTATGAAAAGAAAAATTTCTAAACAATTTATACAAAATACATCATACAATTTCCCCACAATATTAAATGATTAAATCAAGGAAATAGTCTTTAATAATAAATCAATAGTTTTAAACTATGTGCAACATAGACTTTAAAACCAACAGCTTCTTGAACTTCAAGATCATATATACAAAATAACATGCAGCAGATTATTATTTTTTAATGAATTCTGCTGTATACAAACATTTGTTTGTCGTTAATATTCAATAAAACATATAAAATTCCTTTTTTAATATATCCCATGTCAAAACTTTCACAATTTATAGTTCTAAAGACCACATTAAAAGAAATGTTGTACATACTTGTCTTTCACTAAATACACAAAAGTGAACAAATTTTTTATCAATATGAACTTCCATATTTTCCCATTCATTCATAGCATTCAAAAGCTTAATACTCCATATATAATACAAAATAATTATATGATTCCCTTCATGGTACAAATAATATATAACCCCAAAAAGTATTGCTTTAAAGTTAGTCCAGAATATATCAAAAAGTTATAAGCTCTTTGTAACAATCTGCCTTTATTTATGTTTTCCTTTATAGTGACATATGGATAGTAAAAAACAAAATGCCAGTCTTGATAAAATTAGTACCTAAACTGCAATTCCACATATCATGCTTAAACCATTTTCAACTTCAAGTAAATTGTAGTGTGGCAGTAAATCTCTGCTTTATGAGAGATTGTTGGACCTCAAAGATAAAATATTCAAAATTCAATAAAATTACAAAGTGCTGCTCTGCCAGGCAAATACCATCATCATTTCTTTTTCATTTGAGCTTCAATTTCTTCAACAACTGATGAAAACAAAGCATCCATGTCTTCATAGCCTTCTTCAAACTTCTGTAGCCTTTGAGCAGTAAGTTTTTTCTGGAAAAGAAAGCACAAATATTTTAAATTTCTTACATTTCAGAATAATCAAAACTAATTTGGTACATGGCTGGTGACTCGTAACATTTCATAACAAAAACAACTGTATATTAATTAATGACACTGCAATAGTAAAGCAATATATTGCTCTCCAGTTTTAACAAAAGATGGGGTACATTCTTCACTTTCACAAATATAAAGAAATTAAGATGATGAACTGAATATCCAAAAGGCTGAATACACCATGTCCTGACCTTTCAGATTAGAATATGAGAGATGCAGCTGTGTTAATCATATCCTATGGTGGCCTGATGACTGACATGACAAGACATGGATAGACAAATTCCTGAATAACATGTGGAAATTTCTGATCTTGAAAGTAAACAAATATATATTTAATAAGAAACATTCAAAACATACTAAATGCATACATCATGAAATAATAATCTTTCACTGAACAAAAAAAGTAATTGGAAAATTTTAAAGGTAACACCGAAAACAATACCATACTAAATTCAATCATTGATGAAGTAGCTGAGAGACATTTATGGTAAATAAATAGTATCCCACAAGAATGAATTTTAACTCAGGAAAGATCCTAGGAAGATGATAATATATTCAAATGACATTCCCTAAAGCATTCAACATATCTGAGGCCTAAGATCTAGCTTGCAACTTCTTCAGAAGAAAATTCTGGGTTAGAATACAAATAGGTTGTTTTCAAAATAAATTATCATAGTTGGTGAAAGGAGGGAAAACATTTCTAAGGCCCCTTTTAGATGCAAACTAAAATTTTCCAAAAGTTGAAAAGGAGCCCATAGGAAGCCAAAGAAGTTGAAAATCGAAATAAGAGCTTCGAGGTGTATCAAATAATAAAAATTGTTTAACCGTGTTTCTTCCTGAACAAAAAGACATATTACAACCTATATTTACAAAACATAAAAAAGGGATCCTTGCGGTCCTCGATAATCTAAAGTGTGTGCCCTGGGGGGGATTCTTGGTATCATAGCATGAAGTATGCTTTTTTTTTTTTTTTTTTTTTTTTTTTACATATTATCTAAAGCATAAAGTATAACTTCAAAAATGCAACGTACTTTCTGAGTTATAGTGTTTTGTTTTTCAATTTTTAAAATTTTCTGATGAGTTACAACTCCTTGTAATACTATTATACTAGTTCAGTTACAGCATGATGTGATTTACGCATGCAGTGTTATATTTGCTAATTTTTTTATAAAGTAATAATATTAAATTTAAATGAAGTTCAAAAGCTTTTTACCCATAATTTACATATGTTTTGTCTTCAAACTTGCATAACTATGTTCAAGCACCCATCTCTATAGATGCACATCAAAAGTACGCAAAATTAATTTAAAAACAAAAATTAACAATTGGTAGATAATTGGAAAAAAATGTCTCAGAGAGGCACCGGTATAAAATATACATACCGGCTCTCAAAATTCATGATTTCGCTCTAGATTTTTTTCTTAGTCTCAATTTTGTGTCTTCAGTCTCAATTCAGTCTTCAGTCAAAATTCTTCAGTCTCAATTTTGTGTCCTTAGGGTCCATAACTTAGAGTTCATGCAAAATTTTACCACAAATTAAATTATTTTATACACCAACCCTCAAAGGGTTAAAAAAATCTGTGCGTATTAGTAAACATTGTAGCATTTCTGTTAGCTAGCATTTTGTAGGATATCCTGAAGCATTTATGATAGCTTTCAAATTTCTGGGAATAGAGGTCACCAGTTTTTTTTTTTTTTTTTATATAAATATATGCACCACTGTTCTTCCATTATTCCCGTTTTTAGTTCGGTTTTCATACTCTAACCTCTAATTCTCTCCAGATGCGTTCAATCGGGTTTTAATCTAGTGACTGAAGTGGTGTTTTCAGAATTTATGGACAATTATAGAGAAACCAAAGCCGAACGTTGAGGGCCAAATGCTTAGGATCATTACCCTGATAAAAAATAAAGTTGTTTCCAGTACCCAAATTTTGGGCAGATAATTTTAAATTACCTTTTAAAATATTTAAATTATGAGTATGGTTCATTATGCCATCAATAAATACTAAGTTACCTAATCCTGATGCTGACATGCACCCTCACACAAGGACACCTCCACTGCCATGCTTTACTGTTCCAACCATGTTCTTGGGCTTAAGATCCTCAGTTTTTCTTCTCCATACGATTATACGCTCATAGGAACCAAAAATGTTGCTCTCATCTTCAAATAAGGTATGGTTCCAATACACTTCCGGCGTATTTACCATTGATTTTGCAAAGGAAAATATAAACTTCCTGTTTTTTGCACTCACAAAAATTTTCTTCGAGCAGAGTGCCCAGGCAATCCAGCTGATCTGAGTACTCATCAAATAGTTTCAAGCAGTGAAACTGATGTAGAAAATTTTCAGTAAATTGTGTAGAAACCTTTACAGCACTCAAATATGGATTTTTCACAAATTTTCTAACTATAAATCTCTGATCATGTTGAATTAACTTTCCCAGACGTCTTTTTACTTTATTTTCGATCTGGTTTCCTTCTTTAAAGCGTTTTATCACATATTGCACCATAAAATGGGATAAATTTACTAATTTAGTGATATCTCAGATCTGTTTTCCACCCTTTTGATGAAAAATGATAACTCTTTGAATGATGTTTGTTGTTTCCCAATGACTACGACCCATTTTTAAATATTAAATAAAATATAACGAAGTAAGCAAGCAAACAATAAAACCAAGTGAATTTTTAAACAGTTTGAAATGCAAAAAATAAAAAAAGTAGCAGACGGTAATTCTATTTATGAAATTTTATGAAAATGTTTTGGTGTACAATCACTTTTGTGGCATTTTATCTATGCCTTCTGAAATTTTTCAATTTTAGAAAAAAGAAATAAATCAATATTAAAAAAAAGTCTAGTATTATTCAAAATCACTTGGAGATGATATGAAAAACTATTGGGCTTTATATTCAAATTCAATTCTGGGGTACAGGGCCTTTTCTACAAATTCTTCAAGTGTTCAATCACTTTTGGGAGCTACTGTATATATATGTAAAATAAAAAATATGTAAATCAGCTTTATACTTTAATTCCATAATAGTCTCTTAATTCTTCAGTTATCATGGGTATTTTGCCTCTCTATTCTAAAAATAATAATAACATTTCTAGACTGCACCATTTCTAGATTAATCTATGCCACAGAGCTTGCATAATGCTAATGACATAATTATTTCAGAACCTAAACTCTGAGAACTGAACTTTTCTATCCTAAAAACCTTTCTCTTAAAAGACTGCCATACTGGATACACGCATACTTTTAACTTTACCCTCTGTGCTGCTTGAACACAATTTTGTTGTGATGTCTTCCTATCGCAATAGTATTCAAAAGTGTAATTATTCTAGATATAGGCACGATTAGAGTGCCAAATGAATTGTGGCCTCAAATGTCAGTTTAAATAAAAACGAAATTTAATCCACCTCAACTGCCAAGTTTTTTAGTCATTATGAATTTTACATTTTAAGACTCTATGCAATCAGAGTTCTTCCTCTTCAATATCCCATCTATGGGCTACACTGTCAGAATTTCTGTTTCTGCAACTCGGTGTTCCTAAATAAGTACTTCACTAAATTTGGATTCATTACACACAATTATATATACAATTACAAAACAATTTTTTAAAAACAAAATACAGTACAAAGTACAAAATCTGGACTCGTCAGGACTTTGGCGATACCAGATTTGGGAGTTTTCAAGATATTAGATCATGAGTTTAAATCTAGTAAGATGGCATGTAGAAATTATAAAATTAAAAATATGAAATCGTGATTTATGAAATAATGAAATATTTATGATCTAAAGAGTATCAAAATGTACAAAAAAAAAGCTTAATATTTATTTATTTACCTTATTAAACATTTCTTTCAACGTAAGTTGTTTAAGTTGCTCTGTTTTTTGTGCTATTACTTTCTCTTTAATTCTGTAGACAAACAATCTCTTATTCAGTTCAATTGTTGAAGTCCTGTAACTGCTGTTTCGAGAATTCCGACTAACCTGTCAATTGAAATTTTCTCATTTTCAGTAACTTCTCTGTCACTTTCTTCACTATCGGTAGTGGTATTTTCTGAATCTAGAACCATGCTACAGATTTTGCCATTGATTAATTGATTGATGATTGAGAAGCATTGTCATCACAATGAAAAACTTCTTTTGTATCATCTTCATTTATTACCGCTTCTCCACATTTCTTTAGAAAATCCGTTAATTGGAAAATGTCATTGTTTTGCGATATCCAAAAGACTTTAAAATTAGCAGCTATCATCATCAAATTTAGCTAGCCTTCACTATACATATTTGGCTATGCATCATGAGCTTGGCGACTAACGACAAGTTGTTCCATTAAATTTTATATTGCTTCTATCATGCACTGAGACAATTACGCCTCAATTGTATTAGTTTAGTTATTTATTATACTTATGTATATTTCTTGCACATGCTTAATGCTTATCAGAGTTCTGAATAAATAACTTCCCACATATACTTAAGCCTTATTGAGGACCGGCGCTAGATATGTTACCGCCTGATGCAGTCTCTGTGTGTTCTAAATTCTGCGACTCTGTGCGGCCATACAAGCCCTAGCTCTGGTATTGGGTTTATGTGAATAACAAATCAGTTATTCTTAATTCAAATAGCCCTAAATATAATCTTTAGGTCTAAGAGTATCAGCAACAAAATCTATTTTTAGCATATGGAAAGAAATTTTTGGTAAATTTTTCCTCATCAACATTTTTAGCGCAACTGAAATCTGTAATCATCGGCAAGCGTAATGGCAAGATAAAAGGTTACCCTACTTCCTTTATTATCCAATTACTAAAATAAAAAAAAAATTTAGGCATTGCTACATGAGTCATTGCTGAAGTTGTCATGTTTTGATAAACACACGGTGATTATGAATAATGATTCGCCGGGTTGGCATCAGATCAACGATGTATCTATGTGGAATG